TTAAATTCCCCAAATGGTCTCTCCAACTTATTAGCCTCCACATGGCAAATTGCTTATGGAGTGATTGTGAGGGGAACCATAAAATTCACTTAGCTAACTGACCTTCCATTTGTATGAAGAAAGAATTTGGGGGTTTAAATTTTGCAAGATATGAATGTTTGTTTGATTGGTTCTTGGGTGAAGAGGTATATTGATGGGGAAGGTTCTCTTTGGAGGAGGTTGGTAGACAGTAAGTATAGCACCATGAGCCCTAACATCATGTGTTGTCATGACAAATTTTGGAAAAATTTCATGTGAGCTATGCAGGCTGTTAGGATTGGTTATAAGTGGGTTGTGGACAATGGCAGAATGGTTAGGTTTTGGGGAGATATTTGGCATGGGAATGCTCCTTTGGCCACTCAATCCTAGGATCTTAATTATTTGGTTAAATAAAAGAATAACACTATTCCAGAGCTTTGGGGTGGGCAAGAACTTAAATGTACCTTTAGGAGAGTTTTTTTATGATCTGATGATTCAGTGGTTTGACTTAGTTAACATCCTTAAGCTTACTAGGTTTTGTCAGGATGAGGACTCTCTGATCTGGCAATATGAATCTAAGGGGGGTTACTCCACGAAATCGTTGTATGCTATTTGTGAATTTTAGAGGGCTGCAACCTATTTTCCTTTCCTGGTGTTTGGAAGATCAAGGTCCCACCCAGAATACAAGGGTTTCTTTGGTTATTTTCTCATAATCATATTATGACTTGTGATAATTTGAGAAAGAGGGGGTTGGCTAAACCTCTTGAATGTGTGCACTACACTTAGATAGAATCAGTGTTTCACTTGTTTTTTGAATGTATAGTGGCTAGGCTAGTTTGGAGAGAGGTGGAAGATTTGTTTGGTATTTCTATTACTAACTTTGAATTGATTGCTAGGTGGTGGCTCTGTGAGAAAGAAAAAGCTTGCATATGAATGTGGTCACCTCAGCAATCCAGTGGGGATAGTGGAATTGTAGGAATTCTCTTGTTTTTGATAAATGCTCTTGGAGCTCTATGAAGCAGGTGTTTGGATTAGTTCTGCATTACCTGAAGGACTGGACAAAACCCTTCGAGGATCTAAGAGGAGGCAGGCTGTTGGAGTTCCATGATCTGATCTAAAGAAAACTGAAAAATCCGCTGGAGTTGGAACCAGGCCGACGACCTGCAAACAAGGCTTTGGTTCTCTATCATGGGCTAAGGCGGTCCAAGGGGCGGCGCACCGGGAGAGTACCAGCAGAAGAGCCCTCAAGAAGCTGATTCCATTCATGTGGTCTTCTTGGGCTGGTGAGGGTATAGATCCAAATCTGCTGAAGGAGGCTGGCCTTCCTACGGTGTGCCTGTGCGTGGAATGGTTTTTCTTTAGGTTTGCTTAGGGGGAGATACTAGCTTTTGGGTCTGTAATAAGGCATTCAGGGAACTATTTCAACCCCTGTTTTGGTTTCGAGTAAGATTGGTGTAGTTTTCCGGGTTTTTTTTAATCGGGCTTTTCCCCTTCCATTACTTTCATAACGGAAATACATTGTCTCAGAACTGAAACTATCAGGGCTAGGGAAAGAAGAAAAGCGAGTTCGGAGCAACATCAGGAAACCCACTATCTGCGCCTGTCATCAGGAATGACAGATCATGGGGTGAAAACCTGATGTCACCCAAAGCCGCACTATGAGAACCTAAACAAGTACCGCACATATTACAAACGCCATCATCAGGCTCAGGCCGAAGTACCAGCAATTATCAGAAGAAAAGACCCTCCACCATAACCCACAACACATTTTCCGGCAAAAGATGATAAGCCAAAACTTCTATTGATATCTAGCAGGATCTTCCAGCGCGTCTCCCCCTGGTAGCCCAAGAAACATGATGAGCGAGGCAGCTTATCTCAGTTCCCATCGCGCCCGTCCATGGTCGGAGCCGGAGGACCGCATAGCATCATCATCTGTGTTGTGTTCTCTTTCAGCATCTCCACGCCCCTCTTCACCATCTCTTCCATCTCAGGTTTCTGGAGACCTTCCCAGTACATCAAAAAGGCACAAGTTGTGAACACAGTCTCAAACGGAGTGTTAATCCATTTGTACTCAAAGGTGGCCCGGTTCCGAGCCAGCCAGATAGCCCAGCATATAGCTACCAAACCAACGGTGTAAATTTGATCAAGGCCAGGCAAGAAACTATAAACCCAAGCATAATATTGCCAAACAGAATTAGGACAGCAATGAGTCTCAAGTAGAGATCCTACAGTTCTCCACACCACTCTAGAGACAGGGCATAAAAATAGCAAGTGATGGGTTGTTTCCAATTGATCACAAAAGGAACAACAAGGATTCCCCGGCCAAAGTCTTTTCTTCATGTTGTCTCTAGTCAGGATAGCATTTGCCCCACTTGCCACAGGAAAATTTGAATTTTAAGAGGTAGTTTGGCATCCCAAACCCATTTGAAGCTAGAACCAGCAATCTCACTTTCCAGCCATCTATACATGGATTTAAACTTTTCTGAATTGTGTAACTTTCAATACACCTCATCAGGTAAATCATTTTGTTTTAGCGTCAATACCTCTTTCTTCATCCCCTCCCATTGTTTCATCATCTCAGGAGACATCCTCCTCCTAAAGGAGGAGATTTGATTCAACGAATCAATTCTGTCAACAGTACAATTTTGTTCAACACAAATTTCAAACAACAATGGGAATTTTTCTTTAAAGGGAGTCCTACCCTCCAGTTCATCGAACCAGAGTCTGGCCACATCCCCCTATTCAATTTGATACCCCAGCCCAACATATATAAGTTTTTCACTTTCAAAAGGGATTTCCAGCATGGTGAATCACTAGCTTTTGCTTTTACCATAGCAACCGAAGTTTTTTTTTTCAAGTTTTCCGTTGTTGTGGCGATCGTATGGCTTATCTTTCTTCAATGAAATTTGGAGCCGGGGGAGGCCCCTGATTTTTGAAAAAAAAACATGTTATAAACCGATAAGATAAAATTATGCCACTATCGAGTATAGGTGGCCAAACGGGTCGGGATAGCTGGGCCGGCCCGGTAGCACGGCCGGCACCGCACGGGCCTGGCACGGCACGGCACGTGCTAAACGGGCCAGGCCCGGCACGCGGCACGCCAAGGGTCGTGCCTGGGCCTAAAGGCTGAGCACGCGGGCCGGCACGGCACGGCTCGATTATCTTTTTTGTATTTTTTTTTATGTATCCTAATGTGGCCCAACAGGTAAAAATAGGCTAAAAACGCTCTGTGCACAAAATAGAAGGTAGATTAGCGGGCCTAGTGTGCCGGTGGGCTGGCCCGATTAACATATGGGCCGTGCCTGGGCTGCAGGCTGCAGCACGTGGGCCGGCACGGCACGGCCCGTATAATAATCGTGCCTCGGCGGGCCGGGCCGGGCCAGACTTAGGATGGACCGGGCCGGGCTGGCCCGTTTGGCCAGCTATACTATCGAGCACCCAGCGTCGAAGTGACTTAGCCGGTAGATTAACCAACGGCGAAACCGCGCCGGCTTGTAACCGCAGTATCGGCCCGCCGGCGTGCGGCCGGCACGCTCGAGTTTTATATACCAGGTCATCAGTTCGGCGCCAAGTGTGCCTCATCGCCGTCCATTCCGACAGCCCGGTCCACGATGTCGTCCGCCCCAGCCAGCAGCGAGCCGCACGACGCGCCGGCCGCCGGCAGCAGCGTGCCGGCGTCGAGGTCGATCGCGGAACGGTGGAAGATGGAAGCCGCGCCGGTGCGGGCGCGGCTACTGCTGCGGGCCTTCGCGTGGCTCTTCTCCCTGCTCGCCCTCGTCGTCATGGCCACCGACGTGCACGGCCGCGGCGGCGCCCAGGACTTCAGCACCTACCCGGAATACAAGCACGTCGACTAGATCCATCCATTGATCCCCATCTCATCATCCGTCTCATGATCACCTGATCTGACCCTTTCTTTCACCTACCGTGCAGCTACTGCCTGGGCATGTCCATCATCGCGCTCCTGTACGCCACGGCGCAGCTGCTGCGCGACGCGCACAGGCTCAGCTCCGGCCGGGACCTCGTCGCCGGGAGGAAGGCGGCGGCCGTCCTCGACTTCGCCGGAGATCAGGTACCAACCCCCAGCTGTCTGTCTAACCACCAATATCGCCAACCGGCTTGGAGCCAACAACCTGAACGCGTTTCCTGGTCTAAAATTTTTATCGTGGCAGGTGGTGGCCTACTCCCTGATATCGGGCTTGTCCGCGGCGGCGCCGGTGACGGACTACATGCGCCAGGCCGCCGACAACCTGTTCAACGACTCGGCCGCGGCCGCCATTAGCCTGGCCTTCTTCGCCTTCTTGGCCATCGGCCTCTCTGCCCTCATCTCTGGGTACAATCTTTCCTTAGAAGCCCTTGTTTAGCAGAGCCACATTATTCTTCCCTGTCCTGTGGCATGTCACCAAGGGAAATCACATGTACAATTCGATCAATGGACACTCAGAATTTTGTAAAATGGCAAGTCAATTTCCACATGGATAATCACAAGCACACATGATTCTAGGGAAAGCACCTGTATAATTGGATCAATGGATACTCAGGATTTTGTAAACTGTAAGCCAATTGCCACATGGTACCACAGTGAGGGGATATTAATCAGAGCATGCTAACCCATTTTGTATTCAAGATAAATCTACTACAAATCTATATAATACAAGCAAAAGTTTAAGACTTAAAAGAGAGGTTAACGATTTACATTAGACCTGAACAAATTGGTCTCCTAAGAACATGCCTACCTTCGACAGCCTTTTGCTGCCCGGGGAGGCAAGTATACACACTGTGAGGCCAAAAAGAATGCAGAGAAGAATGGCAAAAAAACATGAACATATGGGCATTTCCCTACACTATATATACAAGAGAGAGACAAGGCTAAGAATGTTAGGACCATAAGATGGCATGGCTGTGCACCCTGTCCAAGATCTTGCTGGTTTGGCACCTTTCTGCCAAGGAAAAAACAGCAGGAGGGCAAAATAATGGGTTCTCTATGTGTCACTCCAATTATCGTCGTCTTCGTCATCACTTCCCACCGCCTGATCCATAACAGAAACATATGTAAGAGACAAATAACTGAAAAGATGTTGGCAGCAACATTGGAGGTGAACTTTAGATGGGCAACCTGGCGTATGGCATTCGCTTTCTCTATTATTGCAGCAACTCTCAGGTTTCCACTAGAGGCTCTAGCAGGGGCTATCATGGATGTCGGTTTAGCAGAACCCACTGGTTTCAGGTCAAAGGTCTGATCAAGTGCAAACAGCAAGCAAGTCAGTGAGATAGTGAGAGGGTCTACAGGGAGAAGGGAGGGATTTCTATTTACCAACCTTGTTCCTTATCTGCTCAAGCCACAAGTTTTTATCATTGGTATTTGGCTTATCTGCGGTGGGGGCAAGTTCTCCAACCTTGTTCCTTATCTGCTCAAGCCACAGGTTTTTATCATCGGTATTTGGCTTATCTGTGGGGGGAGCAAGTTCTGAAACCTTCCGCATCTGCACAAAGCATAAATGGAGTTAGCGTAAACACAGAAAACATAAGCAGAGCACGCACACAAGAATGTTCACGAGGAAGGCAGAAGAATACCGTGCTTCTATCATGAGCAGCAACAGCATCAACCAGTGGATTTCTTGGGATGTTTCTCACTGAAACTGGCTTTCTGGTCAACCGATAATCTGTGACCTCTGGTTCAAATCTGCTCCCTTCCGTTGATATTCCATAATTAGGATGAAGCATCTGAGGTCCAACAGTCCATCCCATCACTGGTGGCTGCTCAACGTGTGCATAGCCGCCTTCATCAAGGTCACCAAGATATTTACTTATATTGCTAGGCCATGACGGGTTTGGCTGAAGTATACTCTCTGTGTCCAAATTATGATCACCATGGGGATAATCTTCAGATACCATTGATTCTGCAGTATGTGACTGGCCTTCAGACGGACCACCCTTGAGGTTATCCGCATCTTGTTCCTGTAACTGACTCTCCTGGCTATTGCCTTCTTCTAACACTGAGCCTGATGCAGTATGTTTTGTTGTGTCTAAAGGTAATCCTCTTGTGATTGGCTGGTCTTTCAGATTCTTCTCCTCATCTGATGAATTTGAACTATGCTCTTCATTGTCTGAAGTCCCTGATAATGATTCACCGTGCTGAGATTGCTGGCAACTACCATTTTCAGAAACATGCCCTGGTGTTGAAGAGCTCACTTTGTGGAAATGCACGCTACGTGCAGCACTGTGATCATCCACCATTTTGTCATCCTCAGATGCAGCTGGATCTGTAGAACTGAGATGCTTAGCGATGTCTGAAATATCTGAACACAAGAGGTGCTGTTGACAATCTTGCTGGTTAATTACATGTGCAGTGGCCCCACTGTCATTCAGATGTTCTTCAGCCTCCGATGGTGATGAAATGATATGCCCCTGATGCTTGATGTTCCAACAAGCCTCTGAAAATGGCCTGTCATTTTCCCTTGGCATTCCAGATTCTACCCTTTGATCACTATTGTCCACCACAGAATTCTGATGCCTCTCTTTGATATCTTGAGAGGAAACTAAGGCTATTGGTTCTGCCATTCCGTCAAGTGAAACTAGGCCATTATCCATATTTTGGCTTGATACAGGCAAAATGGAAGTTGTTCTGCTTGCAGGGTCAGGCGCACGGTCTTTTGTACTCAGAAGTCCCAAACGAGGCCTTCCAAGCCTCCACTGAAGCGGAGGAAGAGGAGGTAGTTTCGGAGGATCTTCACTGCATACACTTTGAAACGGTTCAGTGTGTGGTGGAACAGGAGAGACCCGATAGTTTTCCTCGGTACTATGCATGACAGAAGTAGAAGCCGCTGTTGATCTCTCAGCTAGCGCACTGGAATTCAAAGAACCCGGTGCAATTTGGGAATCAGATTCAGGTGAGCAATAGGATGCATTCTCTGGTTCCACTTGGACATTGCATGACGAAGCTACATCGAGTTCACCAACCTTGTCCTCACCCATGGGGCACGGAGCAGTTTGAGAATCCAATTCAGGGGATGCACATGCTTCCCACCCTTGCTCCACCTCCATATCATGTATTGATGTAGCAGCACCTGGTACATCAATCTTATCATTTACTGAAGAATATGGAGCAACTTGGGTACCAAATTCAGGTGAGTGATAGGGTCCATTCTCTGTTTCCACTAGGACATTGCATGATGAAGATCCATCTAGTTCACCAACCCTGTCCTCACTCACGGGGCATGGAGCAATTTGAGAATCCAATTCAGGGGATGCGCATGCTTCCCACCCTTGCTCCACCTCCATATCATGTATTGATGTAGCAGCACCTGGTACATCAATCTTATCATTTACTGAAGAATATGGAGCAATTCGGGTACCAAATTCAGGTGAATGATAGGGTCCATTCTCTGCTTCCACTTGGACATTGCATGATGGAGTCACATCTAGTTTACCAACATTGTAATCACTTAAGGGACATGGAGCAAACTGAGGATCCAATTCAGGAGACGGACAAGTTTCCCACCCCGCCTCTCTATCATTTACTGATGTAGAAGCACCTGGTCCAACAATCTTATCATTTACTGGAGAATATGGAGCAATTTGAGAATCAGGAACACCAGAGATATGATCTTCCGACTCATCTTCTATTAATGCAGAACCACTCAAAGGAGGACAATCTAGTTCGTCTATTTTCTTGTTACGCAAAGAACATGAAGCAATTTGAGAATCCAGTTCACTTGGAGCACAAACTTCTGCCTCCTTTTCAACAAGAACAGCATTGCTTGGAGGGGCAGCAGGTTCTTCAATCTTCTCACAAACGTGAGATGTACCAATCTGAGAATCATTTTCACCTGTAAACTGATCTTCTGACTCCTCAGCTTCAAGAGCAATCCTCGGAGGAGGGACATCTAGATCGTCAACCGTCTTATCCATTGAGGAAGATGGAACACTTTGAGAGTTAGGTCCATCAAAGACACAGGAGTCTGATTCGTGGGTTGGAGTAGGTTTCCTTAAAGGAAGGACATCCGGTTCATCCAAGCCACGTGCACCAACGGTTCCACTACCTACGTTTTCATTTATAAAAGCATGTGGAGGAAGGTTAGCACAGGGGTCCTGCTCTTCTTTCACTGGAACAACCTCAGGCAAGGGACGTTGTTCCTGCTCTGATTTCACTGGAACGGAAAGGATATCCAGTTCAAGATTTTTCTCATCACCGAAAGACTCGTGAGATCTCAAGTCAGAATCCGCTGCTTGTTTCTCGGCATCTGGAACTTCTATGGCAGATAAGGGCACGAATGTTTCGCCTGATATATCCCTGGCAGAAGAACAATCAGCACGTTGAGAATCTGGCTTAGAACAAACCGCTTCCTGGTCTAATTCCACTGGCAGCACAGATACAGAACTAGGAAAGTCCAATACACTGACCACAGAAGCATTTGTAATATCTTTAGTATCTGAGGATGGTTTATGATCAAAACCTTCTGCGGCAGCAGTAAAATCAATCTCATGGTATTCATGGCACAAGGATCTGAAGTCCTGTTCAGTCATAACTTCTGATGGTAATGGTGCTTCATCGGGTGGAGTTGCAGGTTCCCAAAGAGAATCATCAAGTGGATACAGGTTCGCTTTTGCTTCGATCTTACACTGCTGGATTAGAAGTTCTGAGAGAAAATCGTCTTCTTCTTCAGAGCAACATGGTTGATAGATCATACTGGGCAAAGGATCAGTAGAGCTCACCATGTACCCAGGATCGACGAATGGGTTTGTGCCAAAAGAATCTTGAGCAGATAACTCCCTCACCAAGTCTTGATCGACATCTGATAGTTGCTCCCACACCATGTTACTGTTCGGGCTTACTGTAACATCCTTATCCAAATCACTCTGACATGGAACTTCTTCAGCAATTAGAGTGGTTTCTTCTGATAAATCCTCTTGACAAGAAGAATCTTCTGGAAAATGCGATGGCGGAACATATAGAATATCATCACTGCCACCCAGTGTTCCGCCTGACGTTTCTATTTCAATAGGGTGTGGAAGATTGGCTGTCTGCAGCAGGAGCTCCTGTGTATTTTCCTTCTGCAGCATACTTTCTCTAAAGATATGTCCTCTTGACTCTTCTAGTGATCCAAGGTTTTCACAGATAGCTTCAACTGCTTCAATGTCTTCTCTGAAAGGACTGGATTGCAATGGTATATCATGACTAGAATTTGTAGGCAGAACCTCTGCTTTCTCGGTCTGTTTGGCACCATCAGTATGCTCGTCTTCAGAAGGTATCATGTCATCATCAAACCTGCCGGTAGTCAATTCTTCTACAACCTCGGCATCAACCTCTGCTTTCTCGGTATGTTTGACACCATCAGTATGCTCCTCTTCAGAAGGTATCCTGTCATCATCAAACCTGCCGGTAGTTGATTCTTCTACAACCTCAGCATCAACCAGAACTTCACTGTGCTCCACATTTTTTATCGTTTCAATGGATTCATGGTATTCCATGCAGGACTTGACGGTATCAAGTATAGGGGCAGTACTAGAAGCTGATGGGACATCAACCAACGATGATTTTGTATCATCATTCAATACTCGTGGAGATTGTTCCAGCATCTTGCTTGTATGAGCTTCTGTGTCATCTTGAAAAGTAGGTACAGATTCAGCAAGTCCTGGGATCACCTGAATATTAGAGAAGTGCATGGGCACAACAGACGCCTGCATAGAATCTTCTTTGTGTGTGTCGAGCCTAACTGAACAGGGCCCTTTTTCCAGTGCAGCTATTTCTTGATCCTCTGTGATATGCTTATATAGATCTTCATCTGGTAAACAGTGTGATTCTTCAACCAGTTCACCCTGATCTGATTCAAACGATGGATTATCTGATGTGATTGAATGAATAGGTATAACTCCTGAATCAAGCTCTACAAAAAATGTTCCAATAAACCGATGTAATACAGTAAACAATTGAGCTAAACAAATAATTTAAGTAAAACAATGCGGAGGTGAAAGAAAAGCAAATGGTTGACTTACTGTCAGAATGCTTGTGGGTAACATCAGGATCCAAACTAGTTGGTTTTGTACTCGTGTCAATTTCTGCAGGAAGTGCAACATTGTTGAACTCCAAGTCATTCATGTGCACAACAGGATCCATGTCTGGCAGTGATGCAACTTTGGTATCTGTTTCTTGGACAACTGTAGCTATAGATGTGCATTCTTCAAATGGTTTCTTGGACAACTGTATTTGTTCTTGATTGTGTGTGCCACTCTGGAGTAACAAATCATCAGCATGTGGAACTTCAACTTCTCCAACAGCATGTGAAACATCATTGGGTTGTCCAGATATCGTAGAAGTACCATCTACCACATTATTTCGGCCATCCTCCGCTGAGCGATATGCTATTTCGTGGTAATTACTGCTAATGCTAGCCAAACCTGGCAACACAATAACTATGTAAGGTCAAAGAGAAGAAAAAGAAAACTCATTGAGGCAATTTGGGTCTATCCAAACATATACAAGAAGATAGAAAGAATTACCATCCAAGCCACTAGATGTCTGGGATAACTGTTTTTCAGAACTAGGGATAGCAACAGCATGATAATCGTTGGTAGGGAGAAAAGACGCCTCCTGGTTTTGTACACAGCCATTGAGATTAGTGTCAGTTTCAAAGTTACCATTGTCATCAGAGGTTACACTGGATGATGAGCTGACATCCATTAGATCAACATCATTACAAGATTCTTTGTCGTTGATCCAATTATCAGCACCCACTTGTTTGCAAGAATCTGAATCAGAGTCTGTATCTTTTGTGTCTGACACTGCAGAAGGAGAAGAATCACTTAGCAGAAATGAGTCTGCACGGGTTGGTTCTGTGTCATTGCATGGATTGCTCAACCCTGATGACAGGTCTTCCACAGGACCTGGTTCTGAAAACTGTACATCCAGCACACTTTCAGCTTCCTTGCCATCACAGTTCAAATTATCCACTTCCATTTCGGCACTGAGATTCTTTTGACTTTTCATGCTATGATCGGCTTCACCTTCTGATTCTATATTAAGGGTGTCAATAAACTTGTCTTGATCACTACCAATATCATCAGGCCTGCAGGGATCATCATCATGGTAAACAGGAACTACAGCCAATTGAAGTTTCTCTTCCTGCACTGACTGCAATGGAGATCCCTTGCAGATCTGTTCCATTTCGAAATGTTCCTGTTGTGTTGCCAGATATTGACCATCATCTACCTCAAGATGAATCGGTCCATTAATGGGTGCAGATGCAGTCACCAAAGTATCAGATTCGTCTACTGGGACAACCTTCGTCAGTTCATGTTTAGTAAAAGACTGAGCAGGAGCACTGAAATTGTCTAATTCTCCAAATGAAGATATTATTTCACTCGAGTCAGTTGACCTAAATTTTGCATGGAAGTTCCTTGCAGAACAATTTGACAAGATCTTCTGTTGTGATGAAATTACTTCTTGCAATTGTTCCCTGCAGATTCTGCTTATAGTTTTATTGTAAGAATCCCGTAAATGCCTGGATTTCAGTTTTGTTGTCCTTGGTGGAACTTTTCTAGAAGATCGATCCTTTGATGAAGTAATTTGAGACCTGCAGATTTTGCAACAAATAGTATTACATTGTGTCATGGTAAATACAATCTAAAATCGTTTCGAACTAAATTTCCCCTAGTATATAGGCTCCTTTTGGTGAATCTTATGCACATGACCAATCCAGTGGCCCTAAACTTACTCAGAGTTCGCAATAAGCAATGATTCGAGTGTTTCCCCTTTCCTTCGCATAGCCTTTTTCTGAAAGAGAAAGACTTCGGTAAGTTTCTAACTTCAAGGAAATTGTTCTGATTCGACAAATATTAGGGACAACGAAGATCTGCGTATATTTGAACAGAGTAAATGATATGACAAACATAGCACGGGAAAGAACCGGTTCTACTCTCAAAAGTCCGAGGCAAGTTGAGATGATAACTTATTATCAGCTATTGATAGTTGAAAAATGCAATTTCTCTTTACGGTCCTTCAAAATCAATAAACACTACTGTGTGGCAGCTTTTCCTTGTATTTATTATTTTTGTGTTGTCCAATTTGGATGACGCCAAATCTCAAGCTAAAGCTACGCTTATGTGTTGTAAAGACAAATCTAAACTTCAAGTGCACATGGTCAATTTGGTAAAATACTACTCCCTCCGTCCGAAAAAGCTTGTCCCAATCTTGTCCCTCAAATGGATGTATCTAGCGCTAACTTGGTGCTAGATACATCCATTTGAGGGACAAGCTTTTTCGGACGGAGGGAGTACACGAGCATTTTTCAAATAGAAATGTTATTTAAGTTCATGAAGGAGGCTCTCTCAATAAAGTATCTAGCACAAAGTGAAACTACCGTAGAAATGTTTGCAGTAATTGAGAATGTATTACTTGCCTTTATCCTACGGGGCTTCTTCTCTCTTAAGTAATCCGGTTCAATCATGTTGGAGGTCTGTCCCATCTTAAAGAAAGAGGGGTCTGAATATCGTTTTAAGGAGGCCCCGGCACCAGCAACATCGAACCTGAAGAACAATCCTAGTGTGAAATTGCTGATAACACATCCATGGTATATACCCACATAAAAATAAAAATAAAAGCATCCACATACTTGTCCAACGTGAATAAATGTGGTGGGCCACGACATTCTTCATATGAATCCAAAATGAAACGAGGCATATCTCCTATCGTGATCAAATTCTGATTAAGCTGAAGATTTGGGTGCCACTCAATACCTACAAGAGAGTGTACCAAAAACTTCTGAAGTAAGAACCATAGCAGTACAAAATAATAATCAGATCATGTCGTATTTTCCCACTTTCAACTAACCATTATCATGTAGGTAATTTGAATGGTCAGTCTGTGCTATAATTGCCTTCTCAACTGCAGGAAATTCTGCCTCTAGCTGCTGCAATCTAAGCATCAAACCATGCCCTCGAGAAGCAGTGGCCATCACATCTTCATGCAGGTCATGAAAAATTTCTGCGGCGAACCTTTTTTGCACAAGGGAAACACAAAAGTTCTTCAGTACGGATGGAAAGAAGGACATATTCACTTCTAGAACACTGTTTTGGTACACATATTACAACATGGATGGAAGCATTGGTAATCGACAAGATACACATTACACTGCCAACGGTTCCAACAAAACTTCAAGAGGAAAGCAAAACTAACAACAAAATCTGCCAAGAGCCAGTAAAAGTGTTCACATGACAATTCACATTTGTGTAGTTCTAATTGGGGGCATGATGGGTTAGGATAGAATGTTTTTCTAAAGACCGGCTTTATTACCTGACCAAAATTTTATTTTCTGTAATGAGATTCACAACAATGCTATCCTTTGGCAGTTCTCCAGATAAATCCCAATTCTGATATAAGGATGTGCAGAAATAGAAGAGAAATGAAGGCCAGTATCTTTCCACTTGAACTCAAGCACGTTACCTACCTACGAAATTCTGACTTGTGTCCTAAAGTGCAACCTCAAAGCTGTCTCTGATAACCAGAATCCCTGTTAAAAATCAACTACCAACTGCAGCATGCAGAAGATGAATTCTCTGGGAAACCACAAAGCGCGCAGTATAGATTACCAAAACATGGCGCAACGTCAGGCATTGGCCAAGCTCACGACGCAGACGCAGGGAAACAATTCGACCCCGTTAAAATCGAAACCCGTTCCTCCTTGTATGAATGGGGAAACAATTCCACACCCTCAAAGTCGAAAGTGCTAAAGGCCGCCCAAATTGGACTGAAAATTCTGAGGCGTATCCCTTAATAATAGTTCAGAATTCGGAGCAAAATGCTGCCCGTGAATCGAATTCCCCAGCCAATTGGCTCCTTCGAACTGCGCGGACGAGACCAACCACCCGCCCATAATGCGCAGAAACCTCCCTCAAATCAAACCTAAAAGGCATTAAACTAGACTAAACTCATAAAGTTATCTATCTACACATAGATGCTCCCAAAAACAGCATACGCCCGCCCAATTATTTTAATTTTTGTTTCGCAGAATCGCACGCCGCGGCGAGGCCAGCCACGTAACTCGCCCGCCCGGCGCAGCACGAACGAACGAACCCGGATTGGTGCCCTTGAAGGTTGCAGCACAGAAGGAGGCGGGGGCGGGGGGTACAGTAGCGGCACTTACTCAGCGAGATCCCCGAGCTGGCGGAGCAGGCCGACGAGGCCGGCCATGGCGACGCCCTCGAGCAGCGCCTCGGGGTCATCCTCCTCCTCCTCCTCCGGCGCGTACAGCGCCGGATCCGCCAGCCCGTACTCGTTGCGCACCTGGTACCGTATCATCTCCGCGCCCGCCCCTGAGCCTTCAGGACTCCGCCACCATTGGAGGAGCGCCCGCCCTCCTCTTCCTCCCCCGCCTTCCTTGAGGACAACTCCACTCGCAGCAGCAGCAGCAGCAGCGCGTGAGCTCGGGTGGATTGGCGCGGGTGGCCGTAGCGCGTGGAAAAGAAAAATATTCCGCCACCACTACTCGATTCAGTGTAGACGGGAGGAAGACGAGGTGGGGCGTCAGAGAAAGTGAGAACACATTCTTATCACGGGGCGCGCTCTCTGGCACGTGGGCCCTCGTGCTCCCCTCGGCGGCCCGTGACCCCTCCCCGGTTCGCGCCCACGCAGGGCTCCTCTACCCTCCTCGCTGGCGGGCGGGCCCGGTCTCAGGCCAAACACGGTGGTGGTCGCTCCGTCAGTGAGTCTCTGGGTACGAAGGGTTTGGATCAAAGCCGTTCCGGCCGCGTTGTCTGATTAGCGCCGGGATTAGGGGTTCCACGGAGTAGATTAGGCTTTGACGGTGGTGGAGCCGAGGCCGGATCGTGCTGAGCTGGGGTGAGGGAGGGAGAGTGGCTATTTATTCCTTCGGGCCGGTGACAGTGAGCGCTTGGAAGTCGGAAGCTCATCATCTCATGATGCGATATGGCAGGCGGCAACTAGTCTAGCAATAGCGAGTGGGTTGGGCGAGGCTCCAACCCAACCAAACATTTATTAGCGAGCCACAAATGCAGATGAGATTTGTTTCCTTCCATCTCCTCGAGTGCATTTACATGTGTGTGGCCATCACTCATCAGCAGAGGCAACACGCAACGCAAGCAGGCAGTGCTGCCGCCGGCCTAAACTTATCAGCGAGCAAAACGCAGGTGTTCGTCTGGTCAGGTGTCGCTTAGTCGTGGAGTTAAGATCTCCATCTTCTGCACTTGTACGAAGTGTCAACTTCTTCTCTTGACAACCACCATACCACTGAGGCCCAGTTTTTTTCACACAGCATTCTGCAGAATCAAGATTTTGGAAAATTCTTCTAGAATCTGCTTCTCCCAGAATCTGTTGCCGAGTTCTTTTCTGGGATTGTAGGTTGAGATTCTGGAAAGAGTTGTGTGTTGAAATGTCTGTAGTACCCTTAGACAGAAAATGTTTGATGAATTTATTAACACCTTGTTGTTTCTAACAGTATCTAGTTGAATATGAGTACGAAAGTGATTTCCGAATGTCATAAAAAGTGCTAAATATTACATTTAGAATGGATTTAAAGATTTGTTCATTACAAAAGTGGATGAACTAAAAAAAAGATAATCTCAAGGTATGAGACTAGCAGCAATCGCCTCGCGTACTGCGTTCATGGTACCATCATCTTCTGGTGGTAGAGCATTGGCACCTGTAAACGGCAATGGAGGTTGCACATATGCATCATTGTCGAACTTGTCAAAATGCTCATCACGTAACTTGCTATCACGAATCCAATTGTGGAGACACATGCATGCAGTGACAATCATCTTTTGGGTCTCCGGTTTGTATCGAGGTATGCCTCCATCTCCAAGAATTCGCCATTTCATCTTGAGAACACCAAATGTTCTTTCGATGACATTTCGCAATGAAGAATGTCAATGGTTGAATGTCTCGTATCTCCCAACTGGTGGGTGTTGTTGGAAATCTGGTACATGGTATCGTTGCCCTTTGTATGGAGATAGATATCCAACCCTGTTTGGATATCCGGAGTCGACAAGATAATATTTATCTACAGTACGACATCAACAAAAGAAATTAGAAATTTACAACATACCATCCTGTATATAACAATATGGATACATGCGAGATGTTACCTGTGGGGGGTTGTGGAAAGTGATCATAACGAACTATGGCATCGCTCCATACACGTGTGTCATGAACAGATCCGGGCCATCCGGGAACAACAAACGTGAACCTCATATCAAAATCACACACTGCCATAACATTTTCACTTGTGTAACCTTTCCTATTCCTGTGTTGGGGCTCCAACTCCTTTGGCACAATCACCTTAATGTGTGTTCCATCAATGGCTCCAATAGCATGTTGAAAGTGAGGCCAAAACTTTGTTTTTCTAAGTATTGGGTGTGGTTCAGAGAAAGTTGGATCAATTGGTCTTATGTAATCACCGGCCATGCGGTCTACACACTCCAAAACCTCGTGGAATTTTTTATTAATGACAGAACGACTATGTGCAAACCGATCTGCGATATTATCAGTTGTCTGACATGTACCCATGGTCCATAAAAATTGTGCCAATGCTTCTTTGGATGAAATGTTGGAAGTTGACTCAAGCCCATACTTCTGAACTAACAGATCATGCAATGTGCGAAACACTGACCTCCTCATTCTGAACATAGCATAGAAAGATTTTGCATCTTTCTCCTTCTCTTCTACCCATTGGAGGCCTGTAACAAGATGTAACTTTCTTGGTGCGTACGGCAGTGTCACACTTGACGACGCCACATCCATAGCAAATGCAACCATGGCCGCCTCAAATTCCTTTTCTTCTTGTTTCTTTCTGGATTTATCCATCTGCCACAACAACATGCACATAGTGTAATATTAGATACAACACAGTTCAGATAACAGTACATCTCCAAAGCAAATAGCTTAGTTCAAAAAAGTACATCTCCAAAGCAAGTAGCTTAGCTCACAACATTACAAGTAAATAGTCTGGTAGAAAGCAATTAAAACATAGATGTTCTACTTATTATTGAGCTCCCACATCCTCTTTATCCATCCAAGCCTTGCAACAGATTCATGAGCCGTGAAAGTGGAGAAAACATCACGATATTTCTTTTCCATGAAAAGAAATGTAGCATAGAAATGCTCATCACTTCCTGGTTTTGCACCATCCGCTTTCACTATGGCCATCATTTGTTTAATCTCTTCTCTTGTTGGATCCACACTCTCCTCTGCATCCCTCTTCTCTGCATCCCTCCTCTCCCTTGCCCTTTCCTCTTCATCCCTCTTCTCCCTTGCCCTCTCCTCTGCATCCCTCTTCTCCCTTGCAATCTCCTCTTCATCCCTCTTGTCTCTTGCACCAAAGATGTCCACCATGCGTACAAAAGCCTCATTTTTAGCATTCTCACTTGCCCACTTGTCATTCATCTTTGGACTTGGCGAATAAGGACACGCCCTCTTCTTCCCACCCTTGGCTCGATTTTGAACAGGGGTAACTTGGCCTTCATGACTATCACACCCCGAGTCATCCTCCAAACTGATTCGAGAGGGATCACCTTGATACGAGGGAGTTGGCACCCTCGCATGCTCATTTGTGACACAAGTAGTATCGAAAACCTCTGACATTTTTTCCTCCTCCGCTAGTGGAGCATAGCGAAACTTGGCAGTTTCTGGATGTGCCTGTAATCATATAGCACCACAGGTTAATATCAAAACTGAAGCAACATGACTCGTTATTTAAGAAATTACATGACAATAACAATACCTTTATCTCCAATGCCCACCACTCATTTGTAGCTGCAATAGTGTGTGTATGCTCATCTCTTCTTAAGCCAGATGCTTGCTGGATCAATGTCTTCCATGTGTTGTACTCGCTTCTACATACACCCCACCTATTTTTGATTTGCCGGGTCGAATAGTTTCTTCCAGAGCGTTCGTTGAACTTTTTATGCAAATTAGCTTGTCCTATGTCCGACAAATAACCACCGTTGCGGTTATTTGCTCGAACCTCCTCTACGCACGCATTCATAAAAATTGTATGAGCAGCACTATCCCAATTTGCTTTGGGTTCTTTGACTTTCTCCATCTTAAATTAGCATCATCATAGAAAATAGTGTCATGTACTAGGAATTCACATACCAATTCACATATCAAAACTGAAGCAAACAAGCAATATTCAACAGTAAACTATTTAACATTTCTAGTAGAATTGTTCTGCACTTCTGTTGGAAAATTAGCACCATCCATCCATCTACAGTGTATTCACGCATCACGGCTGGCTGGGTGCAAAAAATTAGCACCATCCATCCATCTACCAGCATCAGCAATCAATCCAACCATCTATCTAACAAATCCAAGCATCAATCCATCTACAGGTTGTATTCACACATCACGACTGGCTGGGTGCAAAAAATTAGCACCATCCATCCATCTACCAGCATCAGCAATCAATCCATCCATCTATCTAACAAATCCAAGCATCAATCCATCTACCTATGCAACATAAATCCATCTACCTATCCATAGCATAAGAAAAAAAGAAGAACAGAGAGATAGGGAAAGAGGATGCCTCACCGTGGGTGTGGTCTGCTCCTCGCGTGGGCTGCTCGTGGCCGTCGAGGTGCAGCGACGGTGCCCGTCAGTGGCCGCCGAGGTGCAGCGCCGGTGGCCGTCGGTGTTGGTGGAGACACGGCGGAGGGGACGACGAGCAGCGAAGGAAGAGGGGCGGCGGAGGGAGATAAGGCGGGCGGCGGCGGCGGGAACCTGGCCTGCGGCGGCAAGGGCCAGGCGGGCGGCGGCGGCAAGGGCCTGGCCGGCGAGGTTGGGTCCGGCGGCGGCGCGACAACCCTAGCCGTCGCTGCGTCTTCACTCCTTTCCCCCCGATGCGAATAGGGGTCGAGCGGTTCGCTCGCTCGTTTCTCTGTTCCAGCGCGTGGATGGGCAGTGGCATTCCGGGTGTAATTTCCTGATGGGATAGGGGTACTCTTCTATTTTGAAACGTTTTCACTGGTGGGACTTGCCAAAATCTGAGGATTCTGGGAAAATCAAGCATTTTGGGTGCTTTTGGATTGCACTAGGATTCTAGAGAATCCTCTCCAGATTTTGAAAGTCAAAACGAGTTCTTTTGGCTGCAGATTTTTCAGATCAAAATTCTCCATAATCTGCTCAAAAGAACTGGGCCTGAATGTCAGTCAGGTTGGTTTCGTGCATGGGCTGCTAACTGAAGGCGCTACGCGTGCAGACGCGTGTAGTGGAGCTGAAGATAGGCTGATGATACGTACAGGTACAGGGACGTCTTGGGGGTCAACTAGATCCTTCGTATTATG